TCTCTCTCTCTCTCTCTCTCTCTCTCTCTCTCTCTCTCTCTCTCTCTCTCTCTCTCTCTCTCTCTCTCTAGGAAGAAGAAAAGAGGGAGGAGTTGAAGAAGAATAGTGGCTATGGATCAGCAGAGAAAAGTCAGGAGAAGAAGGAGAAGAAGAACTCTCCTCTCTCACGCGCTTCTGAAGATGATGCCACAAATACTGGCCAGCGAAGGTGATGACTCCTGATGCAGGTCGCTGCTGAAGGCGGTCCCATGACTGGTGTGGAGTCCCAGCTATGGCGCCCAGGCGAGTCTCTCTCCTCCTCGTGAACATGGACTCCGCCAAACCTCTCCACTCCAGCGTATTCCTCTACTCCTCCAGCGCTTCTCTATCGCAGCTCTTCCCAAACTGGCGCTGAACCAGCTGTGTGACGCCCAACTGAGGAGGACTGGCGCAGTTATATACCGCTGGGCCTGGCTGAGCAGTCCTCGGTCTGCAATCAGGACCGTTCCGATCGATGGCTCTGATCGCAGGCCCAAGTCCCGGTCCTATGATCCTGGCCAAGAACGGCCTGCCTGGGTCCCTACCGGACGCCCAGGGAACCCTGCTGATGCAGCAGGGTCCCGAGGACTGGGCCAGGCACAAACAGACGAATGCCTGGTCCAGTCCCACATACGGACAAATCTGAACCTGGCCTACAATTGCCGAAACTGAAATCCACTGGTCGGAACAGGCATCTGCCTGCCTGTTCGGACAAAGGGAAAAGTCCGAACCGACACATCTGAAACAGACAAAAATAGTCCAGACAAAACCCAGCAAAAATAATAAATGCTGAGTAAAGGAGAGCACGCATGGAACCAAGTGTGTGCCTGGCCTGGAATATGGCCGTGGGCCACCAGGTCGCTCACCAAAAATGGGTGCATGGCCTGGGGGCCCGGAACAACCGTCGGGCCCCAAAACAGGGCCCGAGTAGAGGTTTCAGGATGCTACATAGTGCAGTAGATAATTGAAGTCGTTGACGGTCATCAATGTAGGAATTTGGAATTTCCCCTCTCTCATTTCATGACCACATCTGCTTTGAGATTCAATGGTCAAAAGCTCATTCATGGAGCTGCTCAACGCGAGCAATGCCTGTCATATCAACTCTCCTGAATGAAATGGTTGGAACAGTTTTACATACTAGCACGGCTGCCAACAATCTCAAAGGCTTTCAAAATCCACTTCGGTTTTATGCACACAGACAGCATCTCTCTCTCTCTCTCTCTCTCTCTCTCTCTCTCTCTCTCTCTCTCTCTCTCTCTCTCTCTCTCTTCCAGTCACTGATATGTATCTGTTTTACTATGACCAGGTCTTGAAGCTCAAGCCACCATGTGTTCCCGTCACACCTGACATCGTTTCGATGATTTTAATGTAAGTGGGCCTCCTTCCTTGCATTTCTTCATTTTGACTAAAAGTTAAAAGTTCACTAAAGGGAAGCTGTGCCCCTAACATTCCTGTGTGTTACACGGGCTTACGTAGGATTTGAAATTTGAGCTTTGAACGCTTGATCTGTTGATTCGTAGGAATGCATTTCTGTTCCATTCATCCACCTGGCAGGTACAAAGGCAGTCCTTCGGAACTTCTTCCTTCCCTGAGAGGCGGTTAACAGAGGCCTCAATTTTCAAACAAATTCTCATGTCATTTATAACAAAACCCCCCAAGGGGTCATTTTAACCAAACTTGCCACCAATTCAAATTCATAGAGCGGAGATCATACTAACTACTTACCAAAAAAAAGACGGGGAAAAAATACTTAAAAAATAAAAATAAAACAGCATTCCAATTTCGGAAATGCGGTCCCCGTTAACCACTTCTGTCTTCCCTGTTTGGATTGTGAGTTCTTTCCTTGGGACTGTGTCCAGACATTTCTTCTCCCCTTTAATGGCACCGTCTGTTTTTCAAACTGTGTTTTTATTAACTTTTTAAGTTTTTATTTACTTTTTAACACATTCTGAAGCTGTTTGTTTCTCTGTTTTTTTTCCTTTTGAAAAATTGGACCATTTGCCACTGTTCCTCAGGCCCCATGCTAATCTTGTCTGTATAGTTCCAACTTCCGAGATCAATGTATGTCTCGAAGAGTAGGAAGGACAAACTCAAAGCTGGTTTTTATTTTTATTTTTATTACTAAGCCATATTCTTCACTCAGTATCCTCCCACTATTACGTACCTATCTATGTCAGGAACAGCAGCCTATGTCTATCCGCTCAACTCTATGCAGGGAGTAGTACCTAGGCTCCAAACCCGCAGGGAGGGATGGCAGGAGCAAGGGTGAAGCCTTCAAAGGCTCGTATCGGGACAGCGTGACTCATCCCGGCGAAAGCCCTGCTCCTGCCAAGCCGGCCGGGGGGACTAGCCAACTATCTCAGCTGGTAAACACCAAGCCTGCCTCATGTGGCCCCGTGGGGGATATTGAACCCATGACCTCCTGAATACCACGTGCATGCTCAACCAACTGGCCGCAGGAGAAATTGGAATGGCTACTGTCTGGCAGATCCGGAGCCCGGTCGCAGCGGTTTGGAGTCCAGAATTCGGACATTTCGAACCAGCTGGACTAAATTCAATGCACTTATGCGTTATTATATTTTTGTTACTAATGTATATATATCAGATTTCACATTTGTAAAAAGAGTCATAAATTCTGGGGGAAAAATAAAAATAAAAATGATGAAAGATCTGGGGGAAATTTGGAAGCAAATGTTGTCAACGTCATTCCAAATTTCAGTTCAAATTTACAAACGACTTCTGGCGGGGCGCTTATTTCAGAACGTGAAGCCAGAATCAAGATAATAAGGAGAATTCTGAAGAGATAAGACTCATAAGAGAGAAAAGAAAATCTCAGACCACCCTTCGGTGCAGAATCTGCAGCTCAGGTGTGGGCATGCAGAGCCTGTCTGAAACATCCAGTGTCCATGCGTGGTGGTTTCGCAAGTCCATCGATCTTCTCGGATACTCACCCTTGGAGCTCAAGATAACGCCTATTTGGTTTATGGAAGGCCATACACTTGTGCTTTTTCGACAGACTATGGTCGTTGTGATTATCGGGATAGATCTCCGAAAATGCAGGTGTGAGAGTATGCCGTCCTAAGGACTAGTTGCTGTCAAGTGTGGATGTTATTGTTACCTTAGGCTTGAGGAGCATAACATGCAAACAGGGTCAGGGCCGTGGTCCCCCTTGCGCAGATTGTTCTTTTCTAGCCATTGATCTGGGTAATCTTGGGTCGGAAAGGAAGAATCCGGGTAAAAAGGGGGACCTTGCCCCAGGGGTGAGCACCCCCCCCTCACCTGGTAAAGTTCTTTTTTTCACAGCCAGTGATCTGGGTAATTTACGGCGGGAAATGAGGAGCCTGGGTAAAAGTGGGATGGGTAAGGTAAGAACTGGGACCTTAAGCACCAGGAGGGGTGCCATAAACCCCAGACCTGCTAGGATGTTACCAAGGGACCTCGCCCGCATTGTTCTTTTTTTTTTCCAGCCATTGATCTGGGTAATTTACGGCTGGATATGAGGAATCTGGGTAAAACTGGGATGGGTAAAAGTGCTACGGGTAAGAAGTGGGGGCCCCAGGAGGGGATGTGCCATAAATCCTAGACCTGCCAGTTTGTAACTAAGGGACCTCACCTGGATTGTTCTTTTCCAGCCATCGATCTGGGGAGTTTACAGCCGGAAATGAGGAGGAACCCTGGTAAAAAGTGTGATGGGTAAAAGTGGTACGGGTAAGAAGTGGGACCTTGCCCCAGGAGGGGGTGACGTAAACCCTAGACCTGCCAGGATGCAACAGAAGCACCTCACCTGGAGCCATTGATCTGGGTAATTTACGGCTGGAAATGAGGAATTTGGGTAAAACTGGGATGGGTAAAAGTGCCACGGGTAAGAAGTGGGATCTTGCCCCAGGAGGGGATGTCATAAACCCTAGACCTGCCAGGGTGTAACCAAGGGACCTCACCTGGATTGTTCTTTTCCAGCCATTGATCTGGATAATTTACGGCTGGAAATGAGGAGTCCGGGTAAAAGTGGGATGGGTGAAAGTGCTACTGGTAAAAAGTGGGACCGTGCACCCAAAGGGGGGGATGCCATAAATCCTACACCTGCCAAGATGTGACTAAGCGATGATTCTGAATTAAGCCGCCAATACAGGGCCCCAGCCTTCTAGAGATTTGCTCGTGGCCTACTCCAAAAAATTCTCGCCTCGGGCGTTCTGGACCACAATGCCTGGAGGCACCAGCCAAAACAGAAAAAACGTGCGCCACTGGCAGTTCGGAAAAGCTTGGTGCACAGTACAGCGTCTCGCACCCCTGGTGTGCTGGTGGTTTAACTTTTTTTTTTTTTTTTTTTTTTTTTTTAAGAGGGCTGCCCCGCACTTTGCTGCAGTGCAATGCAGAGGCAACACTGGAGGGGTCGAGTAAGCAAGCTCACTCCTACGACCCCTCCGTGGCCCAGAAAAATTAATTTAATATCGTGTGGTCCGATGGACCACGGATCAGATATTAAACTGATCAGAACAGAAACTACACTTGATCTTAGCCAAAAGGCGGAGAAAGGTATAACCTTGTTTTTTTGTTTTTTTGTTTTTTTGCTTTTTTGTTTTTTTCTGGTGTTTTAACCTTTCAACCTCTCATTCGCATGGGTGAACTGCAAAGCTCATGTCATGGAGGAGAAGTGAATATAATTATTTGACATACATATTGCCAGCAATGTCACTGTCATCATGTACCGGTCGTCCATGCATGTCCTGGTACATCTGGCGTGCCTTGCTGGCTGCATGTCCAGGTGTCTTCTGGAAAATGTATCGGCAATGGATTTGTAATTTTCGAGGCATGGTTACTGGGGTCCTTCAAAATTTTTGAATTCCTCTTCTTCTTGGTCTTCTTCAAAAAGGAAATGATCTTGAAATGGCAGTTTGGAATTCCAGATGCAGTTGTTCTTAGTGGGATGGGCCTCACTCCACTACTCACCAAATGTGCGAAATGAAAATGAATCTTCTGCTAGAACATGGGAAGATGCACCGCCGTAGTTTTTATCTTTTGTGCCTCTAGAGAGTGGCGGAGCAAGGTCCATCCTTCTAAATTCTGATATGAAGAAACAAGTTTTAAAATTTTTGAAGTTTTTTCCTTGTTCGGAAATGGACAATCTTGAAATGGCAGCCGTGGAATCCAAAATTCTTCCTCCGTTTTTTTCTATATCTATCCATACTCTTATTGAAGTGTAAGCCGGGTCTCGTGTGACGGTCCCACGAGGCGAGGCTGACACTCTTGGGAAACAGCGTTTCCCTCTGGGGCCCGTGGCGATGTGTAGGCCGCATGGGCTGGAGGGTTTGCGAATCTGCGGCCGCATGTTCGAATACAAGGACATAGTGGCGGGAGGCTTTGCTATCAAGCGTGTGCTGTCGTTGCTGCCAGGGCACTGCACAGCCTTTCGTTTTTTTTTTATTTTCTGGTTTTGTACGAATCTTCCCCGCAAACATGGGAAGATGCACCGCCATATTTTTGTGGCGCAGCCTTTCGTTTTTCTGCCACCACACTGCACCTCGTTTGGCTTTTTCCAGTTTTTATCGTTTGTGCCAGCTGCATCCTCCCATGTCTTAGCGGTAGATTCATTATTGTCTGCATGTGTGAGTAGTGGAACGAGGCCTTTATTTCTGCCACGACACTGCATGTCACTTGGTTTTGTTCTGTTTTTGTTCTTTCTGCGAGCTGCATCTTACCATGTTTTAGCAGTAGATTCATTCTTCATGTACAAATTTTGTGAGTAGTGGAGCCACACCCTAAGGAACCAGCGAACGGCGTGGCAGTGTTGGCAGAAAACGACAAAAACAAAAAGTAAAAAAGTGAAACGACGTGCATAAGGGCCTAGCTCCACAGCTCTCCACATGCACAAAAGACAAATTTATGGAGGTGTATCTGGGCATGTTCGGGCGGAGGATTCACTCTTATTTCTTTTCTGCATGTTGAGAGTAGTGGGGCGAAGCTGAGAATGTCTCTGGAAGGGCAACGGCCACGAGATATGGGGCCTCGCTCCACTACTCAACAAATGTGCAAAATGAGAATGAACCATCCAGTAGAACATGCCCAGATACACCACCATATTTTTTGTCTTTTCTGCATGCCTTTAGTACTTGAGCCAGCATCACCAGAATTGTGGTATGTTGTTCATCTGCTTTCTCAGGTCTGCATTTCAACGGTTCAGGGGTGTACCTACTGGGCTACGCCAGTTGGTAGCTGGTGCTCTTCTTTTTTTCTTTTTTTTCTTTTTTTTCTTTTTTTTTCTTCTTTTTTTTTTCGGGTAGCTGGTGCGTTCGCCTTTGCCAGACCTTGGGGGGGCGGGGTGGTGTGAAGCCAAGAAGGCTTGTTGCTGTTTTGGTTTGGCTGATGTGGCCCTCCTTTGTCAATTCATCTCATCCCTCCGCCTCGGTGCCTCTGCTTTGCCGCGGCGGGTCCGACTTGTTCAAATAAAGGGAACAATCCTAAGTGTGCTGTAATTTTATCAGGGCTCTCGACCACCGTCTTCACCCGAATAGAACGCCCGGTCATTACAGCTGTATCCAAGGGGCAACTTTCAGTCCAGAGGCAGCTATAATGACTGGGCTTTATATTCTAGTGAAGACGGTACCATAAAGTGATGCAAGAAAGCATGTGAACAGTCTAGTCTGCCTGTGACAGGTTATGGGGACTCGCACTTGCCTTGTTTTTCTTTTTTTACCTTGTGCATGCATACAATGTTGGCACCCTACCCCCGCATCTGCGGGTATTTCCTCCATTTAACAGGGCTGTTATGGTTTTACTCCAGTTATGGAGATTCTGAGAGTTTTTGTGTTGGGTTGCCCTTGCCTTGTTTCTTCATTTGCCATGTGGGTGTCTGCAATGTCGACACCCTACCCCACACCCGACCCCTGCAATGTCGACACCTTACCCCACACCCCACCCCTGCATCTCCAGGTATTTCCTCCATTTAACAGGACTTTTATGGCTTTACCCCATGGAGCATGAGATCGTGGGAACAACGGTCCATCGTTGGGGATTCAAGGTGAGTGTCGGCAAAATCACCCACCCAAAGTGTGTCTCAAGACTCTCGACTCTCGAGACTTTCCCACTTGCACTTGAGATGAGGACCACTGCCTTTTTTGGGTGATTTTTTTCTTGAGAGGGGAGACCCTACTTAAAAAAAAAAAAAAAAAAAAAAGAAGCTGTCTTCTGAGTCCTGACTCTTCTCTTCATATATGGGGGACAGCTGTATTCAATACCTAGCTTTCCCTGGCCCCCTGCCTGGGCAGGGACCACGGCCGGGGTATCTCGGGCACACATAAAAACCACTCAGTTGTTTTTTTTTTTTTTTTTTTGCTGCCAGACCTTGCTGCGCTTTGGGTAGGGCCCAAGTCCAGCCTCTTTTTGAATTTTCATGCATGTTGATTTCTGTGTTGGGGGGGAACGGAGGGCGTGCAGGAGGGGGCTGGATTATGGACTGTCCATCTATAGGGTGGGGGATACATAAGCTGCTCTGTCCCCCCTGTGCTGGAGTGCCACGTCAGAGGGAGGAGGGAGGACGAAGGAGCACCAAGTCAGAGGGAGGAGGGAGAAGCACCTTGCAAGGAATATGAGTGGGAAGTTGGGAACGATATACAGAAAGCCAAGTTGTGAAATCACACAGATGTCCAAGTAGTCGTGTACAAGCAGAGAGCACAAATGCACCGAGATTCCATCCAAATAAGAGCAATACAATGAAGTAATGAGCCCATGTTCAAGCCCTCAGGCCACACCAACACAGTATCCAAAGCGGCTCCTCTCTGTCTCACGCCCAGCGCCCAGCCTACAATACTCAACTATCCTACGTACATCAGCATTCTCGCAACAGGCTCACTTTGACTCTCGAAGACCAATGTACATGACGTCAACACCATACCCGACCTCTCTCATGTACCAGGTACGTATCTCGTCTCCCCTCATCAGACCCTGCCCACCCACACTCGCCTCCTTCCTGAAGACCACCGATCGCCCACTCACCCCCTAGCGCCCTGCAGCCCGGCTGTGGCTGCTAGCGCTCCGCTGCCCAGCAGCGCCCCTCTTCACCTCAACGCGCCACACGCGCTCTGGCCTCAGCGCAGCACACAGCCTCTAACGCGCAGCGTGACCGCATTGCGTGCGTGGGCCAGAATGCCAGACCCTGGCTGCCTTCCTTCCTATATGGAAGTGGCAGCCTCTGCTTGGCTGCGTGTGGCCAGGCTGGAAGCTTCCAGTAGCTTCTGGTTGGGCCCCAGTGCCTGCACCCAGGCCCAGTGCTACAGTTGAGGGCCTGGGCCCTTCACAGGGCACGGCCTGAGTCTCCATACTTGGGCCGTTTGTCTTATTTGCACAGGACCAGGGGTATGTACGTCAACAGTGCTTCTTTTGCATAGGCCTGTGGCCAATGCGTGATGTATGGGCCCTGCATTGTGTGTATGTGCCCAGGCGCAACTGCCAAGGCCTGGGCCAAACTGTATAACACAGCTTAGGGAGGCTCAAGCGTCCCCTCAACCAACTGGCAGGCTGCAACAGCCTGAGTACCCACATATGAAAAATGTCGAATTTTGGCCTTTAGTGAATATTCAGGCCCGCCTTCACTTAGGGCGGGCACGTGGCTTGCTGGGGCGCTCTGCCCAGAACATGTGCATGCTTGACAAGGGCCCCGTGAGGGCTCATTCCTCGCATTCCATCCCCCTTAGGTTCGAAAGTCCGCTGAGATGCTTCATGCTGGTGCCTTCCCCTTCAATTTTCTTTCATACTCGGCCACGATCTGAGGAGCTGTCTTGAGAAGTTCCTCTCTTGTAAACCATCAATCTTCCTTGGGATCAATATGATGCCTGAACCATACTCTGTACTCTCTCACAGGTTTAGGCGGTCTACCCCTGCCAGCTGGCTTGGGAACAGGCATGTCTTTGTGCTCCAGGATGTCGTCGACGTCCACGTAACCATTCATGGTTGGGGGCAGCATAGATCTCCTTGATGGGAACTGTTCTGTCTCAGCGAAAGGTGCAAGCTTTGAGGTGTGAAACACGGGGTAAGTGTGTAGGTGCCCAAGGATTCGAATCACGTACGAGGGACCATCCAAATCACTACCCACAATATCTAAGACTTCCCAGGGACCGAAATACTGTGGCATTAGTTTTCTAGAGATGCCGAATTCCTGTCCCAACTCACTAGCCTTGACCCAGACAYGTTCYCCTACTTGAAATGTGGACTGTCGGTGATGCTTGTTGTCAGAAGCAATCATTGCTTCCTGAGATTTCTTGATGTGTTCGACAGTCTGCTGCAACAACTTCTCATACTGGACACCAAATTCAATGGTTCCAGGAGTTGCAGCAGTTCGATTTTCAGGCTGGAGGAAGTCTAGAGCAGATCTAGGMTTYCACCCCAGATGCAACTGATTAGGACTGACACCGGTGGTGCTATGTACAGCATTATTGTACAGATTGGCGAKGAGAGGTAATTTTTCATCCCAAYCATCCTGGCTGGGCTTGATATAATGCCTCAGCAGATGCTGCACCACACGGTTCATCTGTTCAGCCTGCCCGTTGGCTTCAGGATGATTCCCAGAAGTCRTCTGAAGCTGGCTGCCCATCTGTTCAGCGGCCTTTTTCCACATCTCGCTAGTGAACCGGACATCCCTATCGCTAACAATTGTCTTTGGTAGTCCAAAGTCACGCACCNTGCCCATCTGTTCAGCGGCCTTTTTCCACATCTCGCTAGTGAACCGGACATCCCTATCGCTAACAATTGTCTTTGGTAGTCCAAAGTCACGCACCCAGTTATCCATGAATAACTCGATGACATGCTCAGTCCTGGCAGTCTTTGACATGGCGATTAGTCTAGCGTACTTGGTAAACCTATCCGCTATGACGAAGATAGGCCTCTTGCCACTCTTGCTGGTCACGAGGGTATCCATGAAGTCCATGGAAACACTCTATCCGGGACCAGCAGGAATGGGTAAAGGTTTCAATAACCCAAGTGGAGCTTGAGTCCGCGGCTTGTCCCACTGACAGACTTGACAAGTCTGCACGTATGCCTTCGCATCGTCAAGCATGTTAGGCCACCAGAACTGTTGTACTAAGTTAGCACTAGTCTTCTTATAGCCAAAATGACCTATTGCGTGATGACACTCTCCTAAAAATAAACTACGCAAAGCTTCCCTATATGGAACTACGAACCGTTTAAACCCAGCGTTCTCAAGAAAGAGCAGACCCAGCCTTCTCAAGAAAGAGCAGCCCATCCACCATCACAAACTCGTCAAATGTGGCCTTGTCTTGGACCTCAAGTTTGTGGATGACGTCCATCGTAACAGGGTAGTCTAGCGTACTTGGTAAACCTATCCACTATGACGAAGATAGGCGTCTTGCTGGTCACGAGGGTATCCATGAAGTCCATGGAAACACTCTGTCCCGGACCAGCAGGAATGGGTAAAGGTTTCAATAACCCAAGTGGAGCTTGAGTCTGCGGCTTGTCCCACTGACAGACTCGACAAGTCTGCACGTATGTCTTCGCATCGTCAAACTTGTTAGGCCACCAGAATCGTTGTACTAAGTTAGCACTAATCTTCTTATAGCCAAAATGACCTATTGCGTGATGACACTCTCCTAAAAATAAACTACGCAAAGCTTCCCTATATGGAACTACGAACCGTTTAAACCCAGCGTTCTCAAGAAAGAGCAGACCCAGCCTTCTCAAGAAAGAGCAGCCCATCCACCATCACAAACTCGTCAGATGTGGCCTTGTCTTGGACCTCAAGTTTGTGGATGATGTCCATCGTGACAGGGTCTTCCTCGTAGGCTTCCACCAAGGATCGAATTACATCGTCGATAAGACAAACTCTGTAATCAGCGCACCCAAGTAGTCTGCCCTACGTGACATCAGCAACCTTGTTATACTCTCCTTTCGCCCAATCTAGCTTGTCATACTTATCTATGACTTCAATCCAGTGTTTGAGTGCGTCAGAGAGAACGGGTTGTGTCTTGATCTGATGGTCAGTCCTAAAATAGAAGAACCGTCCCAACAGATAGTGCCTCTAGTGGACAAGTGCCTTGTAGAGGGCGTAGAGTTCCTTTTCATTAAGTGGACTTCACCAATTTCTTGGATAGCATCTTCTTGCTCATGTACTCGATCGGCCTTAACTTCTTCCCTTCTTGCTGAGCCAACACTACGCCAATGCCATATTGGCTTCCGTCAGTGGTCACTACGAATGGCCTTTGAGGATCGGGGACCGTGAGAACCTCATGATGTGTAAGGGCATGCTTCAATCTTTTGAAAGCAGCCTCACATGCGTCTGTCCACTCCCATGGAATGTCAAGGCGCGTTAGATCAGTCAAGGGGGATGCGATCGTAATATAATTTTGTACAAAATTGCGGTAATAACCACACATCCCCAAGAATGATCTGACCTCAGTCTTGGATGCTGGCCACCTTCGCATCTTCAGGCCTAATCCCTTCCGCGGATACCTCATGACCCAAGTACAAGATTTTGGTACGACCGAACTCGCATTTCTTTAAATTTATCTTATACTCATGATGTCGGAGGAGAGAAAGGACTTTGTCTACATGATGAGCATGCTCCTCGACAATCCTATTGAAGATAAGAATGTCGTCGAGGTACACGACGATAAACTTATCCAAGAAGTCATGAAAGATCCTATTCATGGCGTGCGGGAATGTACCCGGCGCGTTGCAAAGGCCGAAGGGCATCACCATAACTCGTACGGACAGTACCTGGTTTGGAATGCGGTTTTGTGTTGATCTTTGGGTCTAATGGCAATCTGATGGTAGTCGGATTTCAGGTCTGCATCCCTGCACCCTATCCAATAGGTCATTGATGTGCGGTAGGGGCTCTGCGTTCTTAACGGTGATGGCATTGAGGCCCCTATAGTCAGTGCACATCCTTAATGATCCCCGCTTCTTCGGGACAAACAAAACTGGTGAGCCGAAGGGGAAGATGCTAGGCCGTATCGAACCCTTTTCTGTGAGCTCTTTCAGTTGCCTGTGGAGCTCGTCCAACTCGGTCGG